AATACCATCCCTCCACAATATCATTCTATGACCATGGCTACATCTACTCTATAGAATTAATGCAATTTGACATCACTTTAATTGCCATATATTCAATGCTATGGAATCCTGGTTGTAGTTTGGTAAAGCACCAACACTCTTGGGCAGAGGAGACTAAAGATCTTGTAAAATTACAACCTCCATGATTCCTAAACATTGAGCCACAAGTCTCTGCATTTAGTATTTATATGCAGTATGACTACACATAGAAGCCATTGAAATCCACAAGCAGGTGGACAATTCCAACAGAAAGGAGGAAACCATGAAAATGAACAAAATCTAGCTACCAGTATCCTAAAATTAGGACAGCAAATAAAGAGCAATACTTAAAAAGCAGGGGAATTCCTGACATGAAACAATCAGAGCCCGCTAACACCTCCTAACAAAGGTCCCCCCAGGCAGGCAGCAGCCAGGCTTTGAAGCTGCAAGGCCATTTAAATGCTACTCAAGGTGGCCAATTGAAACATTCACACTTGCCTCAAGCAGATAAGAATTCTTTCTCCCATCCCTGGAAATTCCACAGATATACAAACCTCACTTGCCTAGTTTCCAACAGACCCCACAATCTCCGAGGATGCCTGCCATAGATGTGGGTTTATTTATTTATTTATCATGTCAGGGGCAGACCAAAACAGTTGCATTGCATTTTTAACAAGCGAACAAACAAAACACAAAGTTTGCAGACTTGGTAGTTGATAAAATGTCCTTTGACCAGTAGCTGGCCACTTGGAGTGCCTCTGGTGTTGCTGCAAGAAGGTCCTCCATTGTGCATGTGGCAGGGCTCAGGTTGCATTGCAGCAGGTGGTCTGTAGTTTGCTCTTCTTCACACTCGCATGTCGTGGATTCCACTTTGTAGCCCCATTTCTTAAGGTTGGCTCTGCATCTCGTGGTGCCAGAGCGCAGTCTCTTCAGCGCCTTCCAAGTCGCCCAGTTTTCTGTGTGCCCAGGGGGGGAGTCTCTCATTTGGTATCAGCCATTAATTGAGGCTCTGGGTTTTAGATGTGGATGAAATATTAGGAGAGAATGCTTCTGGAGCATGGCCATACAGCTCGGAAAACTCACAGCAACCCAAACTTCAGATTATTTGTAATGACTTCACAGTGACAGCTTTGTCTCTCATTTTGTTCTGCTCCCTCTGGTCCCAAGCATTTCAGACAAAGGATACTCAACCTGTAGTCAGTAAACTATTGGCAGAATAGTAGTGTGAAGACTGAGAGGACACAAATAGATTGGTTTGATTTGTTGCCAACCACTTTGCAAATACAAATTAAGTACCAAAGCTCATTGAGTAAGTGGGCTTCATAGCTGATAAAGTTGCTAACCAAGATCAAGAGCATGCCAAACTGACTGTTTAAATATCTTAAAGGAAGGATACAGAATGGGACACAATGGTGAGAATGGTGTCAAATATTTCAGTAAGTTGTATGATATATTTCTGCAGAAGGCTAGAGTGATTTCTTTTAAATATCCACTAATTCCCAAACAAATAATAATCATCAAGAAATATTAAAATAAGCATTTTATTAGTTTCATTTCATTTCTTAATTACTCAGATTCAGTTTACCAAATTATTGCAGTGTGAAATGCTTAGAGGCAATGCTTACTATTAACAGGATTATTTACATGTAATCCCTCCTTCCCAAGGGGTATGAATGAACCTATCATTTGTGCATCCTGATTTATGCTCTGAAACAGTAGCATATGAAACATAGTTGTTCTTGGAGGAATAATACAGTATGAAGCTATGATTTAGCTGTAAAATCAAGGTCTTTAGAACTTCATATGCGAACTTTTTTCAAACCTAGGAAGAACTGTTTGTAAGAATTTTTGTAACTGAAATATTTGCATAAATGACTCAGCCCCCTCAACATTGCCATTCCCACACTGTTGGAAAGCAGGGAGATGGTTGTTAAATACCATTAAGACAACTTTGATGTATGGCAATCTTATGAATGAAAGACCTCCAGGTCACCCTATCATTAACAAGCTGTTCAAGTCTTGCATGCTAATGGCTTTTGCTTCCTTGATTGAGTCCTTCCATCTGTGATCTGGTCTTCCTCTTTTTCTGCTGTCTTCTATCTTACCAAGCATTATCCTCTTTTCTGCTGAGTCATACCTTCTCATGATATGGCTAGAGTAAAACAGTCTCATGATCTCATCACAAAGGGCTAAATTCAGTGGCATGTGCCATCAAGCGATGCCAGCGAGGCTCCATGGATGAAGGAGGGTGGAGCCGGAGCAGTCTGCTACCGTGGCAAAACTGGAGGCTTCCTGTGTTGTCATTACAAGTAATGCGGGGAAACTGCGTGATCAATATTTCCCCCCATGGGATCAGCTGGGGAGAGGAGTCAGGTGATGTGTGGCGTTGGTCACCGGGATCCCAATGCCCCCCAATGACATAGAGTGACTCCAGCAGCCATGTGACAAGGTTGTTAGTTTGTTCATCTTGAGTTCTGGGTACAGTTCAAGCTTAATTGAATATAGAAATGGGGAAATGTGATGTCATGGACAATCCTAATTTTAGCATTCAACAATTTATCTTTTTAATTCAGGGTCTTGCCCAGTTCCTTCATAGCTGTCCTGTCAAGTCTTAGGGCACATCTACAAGAGCCAAAAACCTCAGAAGCAGCAACCAC